GGCTTTATTCTTAGGAAGGCAGAAAAGAGGACAAGCTAAAAGTTTAACTCAAAGGACAAAAAAATGGAGCCTTGATTGACCCAAGTCAGTCATTTTTAATCATGCCAACCACCTCAGTTTTAGAGTGCCTTCACAAATTATGTGTGTGTGTGTTTGTATGTATATTGTATGTATATATGTGTTTGGTTGGGGGAACTAAGTTAAAAAAAAATCAAATCTTTATTTTACAGTTTATAGAAGTGAAAATAATTTTCTTTGACAAATGCTCAAATGTATAGGCAGGTTGGAATGCACAAAACAATCAATCTTGGGCTTGTTGGCAAAGCGATTACCTAAGTGGAGGGGCAGAGGAAACAGAGAGGAACACAAGCAGGTGAACTTCTCAAACAAAAAGTTATGTTTTCCATTTTTGTCAAGTTTAGGGACTATTCAAAATGGAGAAAATTACTTATGTGCCATTTGTAAATCTTTAGCATGTGCTCATCTTTTTATGCAGTTTATTAGTTTCCTGGCCTTTGCAGGATTTTCCACATAAGTCCTGTTCCTTAAAGTTAGATCTTCCATTTTCTGCACTTCACTCATTGCTTTGTCCACCACAGTTTTCTCTCTTGCTTTGAATAACATTCTGAGATTCTGTGAGTGAGTGAAATCCTGGGTTGCCTGTGTTTCACATTGTGCTTTTGAGAAGAGGGATGAACAGGGACTCCCCAGAGGACGTGGATGGAGCTGACCTCTGGGCTTCAGTGCCCAGTGACTCTCCAAAGCAGGGGATGATTTTGAGGCTGCATGTGGTGGAAGGGAGGAAGAAGATAAAATTATATCCTCCAGTGGCACACAACAAGAAGAAGGGGAATCTTAGAAGTGAGTCTAGGGAAGAGAAAACAGCTGTTTGAAGGGGAATTAAGAAAAAAAAAAAAAAGAAAGAAAGAAAGAAAGAAACCACTAACCAATGCTATAAGTAGAAATTGTTAATTGAGGGTGTGATCAGGTACCAGACACTGCCCCTCAGTGGGGAAGGGCAAGAGCAGAAGGTATCATGGGGATTCCTTTTGACCACGTTTTGATTTTATATCATTCCACATCATTTTTCTTTTCAGATGTGCCATGCAGGGCTCTGTGTAGAAGTAATAGACAAAGCCTAGAAAAATTGTTCGCTCCATCCTAATCTCACCTCTAGGGTTTCTCTGTGAACATGATAGCTTAACCTTTGTCCTCATGATCCCATATAAAGTTATGAAGTACACTAAACCAAAAAACCAAAAAACAAACAGACAAACAAACAAATTCACTGCCTTCGAGTCAATTTGACTTATAGTGACCCCTCTTTGAGTTTCCAAGACAGTATTTCTATGGAAGTAGATTGCCCAATCTTCCTTCCGAGGAGTGGCTGGTGGGTTTGAACCGCCAGCCTTATGGTTAGCAGTTAAGTGCCTTACACACTGCGCCACCAGAGCTCCTTGAAGTATACTGGCAGTGGTAATTCTAATATGTGTATGTTGTTGTTGTTATATGCCATCAAGTCGGACCGACTCATAGTGACCCCACCTTGTGTTTCTGAGGTGTTATCACTATGGAAGTAGATTGTCCAACCTTCCTTTTGAGGAGTGGCTGGTGGGTTTGAACCGCCAGCCATATGGTTATCAGTTAAATGCCTTGGTCACTACACCACCAGAGCTCCTTGAAGTGTGCCGGCAGTGGTAATCCTAATATGTGGTATAGAGCCCTGTATTTATGGTCTATGAAGCTTCTCTGGATTTGTATGCCTGTCAGAGGTAGGACTGTGCTGTTCTGTTTTACAGCTGGTCTCTCACAGCCATCCAGTCAGATCTGACTCATAGCGACTTCTCCTTGGGTTTCCAAGGTGGTATCACTATGGAAGTAGATTGCCCAACCTTCCTTCTGAGGAGTGGCTGGTGGGTTTGAAGCGGCAGCCTTCTGGTTAGCAGTCAAATGCCTTAGGCACTGCACCACCAGAGCTCCTACAGCTGGTCTAAGAAGTACAGATACAGAGATTAAGGCTTCTTTTTCACACAGTAACTTCTGGTTGAACCATCCAGTTGCAGATGACTTGGAAGAAAAAGCAAGGAAAAAGTTTTCATTTTTCTGATAGGAAATTGAGTTAAGTATAATAATCCTAAAAGCTCTGGTGGGAACTCTGGTAGCATAGTGCCTAAGGCACTTGACTGCTAACCAGAAGGCTGGTGGTTCAA